TGCCAACTGACTGTCTTTTGGTGAACTGCTGAGTATTTTGCTGAAGCGCTGTTGGGTGATCAAGATATTCCTTTCAACATTCTTTTGTGAACTCTGTCTTTAATGATGCATCCAGTTCTCCGACTTGGTGAGGGAAGAACTTGTCCAATCAAGTTACAGTCTGAGAATAGCTGCTTTGATCCCCCATGCCAAACTCTGAACCAAACTCTGCCTATTCACAATTACTCCCTGCATACTTGAATATCACTTACCACAAGGAGTGAGGGTTGGCTGTTTGATTCTGGCTGGAGAATAGAAGGACAAGGGAGTGCACCCAAAGCCTAATTAATCACAGGGGCTTAATAGAAATAAAAGCCTATTTAACTCTGTTTAGCAGAAAAATTTATTTGCTTTTTTCGGCCTTGTGACTAAGATTGCTTCAGTATTTGCAATGAAAAGTATTGAAAAATACAATAGATTGAGAAAATAGATCCTTTAGCATTTTCAAACATCTACCAGATAGAACAGGCCAGAAGCTGAAGTAGATAGGTAGGTGTCTGTTCCTAGGATGGATCTGCTTGTAGATTCTTTTGGGCCTTAAAAAGTAGTTTTTGAGTGTTTGTGAATCAGGGAGTAGGTTAGTAGTAGAATGAGAGAAGTCTATCACTGTGTTTAAATGTTTGACAGGCCAGACGCTGAGCTCAGAAGACCAGTCATTTACAGCCGTCAAATACCCCACCCCCACCTTTTATCGATGAATAAACAAGAAACATTATCTTACATCCTTCATCTGGAACAGATTAAGAGGCCTTCTAGCTGAGCTAATTACCAGAAAACAAAGCTTGAGCTTTCTTTTTGTCTTAAATTGCTTAATTATAAATAAATGCTCTGCAGATTATGACGGCTATTTTTCTTTTTATCTTTTGCTGCCAAAATGGCAGATTTGTCAGCATATTTCTGCTTGTTGTGACCCCATCTCTCTGGGCCCGGGCCATAACAGCTTGGCTGCTTTAATCTGTCTGGGAGTCGTGCTGTCTGTCAGTCTGTCTTTGCTGCATAGTTGAGAACCTCGTGGCTAAGTGTTTACTATGGCAATGAATCAAGAGATTAATATGAGTTTTGGCATTCAGGCGCAGTGCATCACTGTAGCAGTCACAACACAATTCCATGTGGATTTCAAGCGGACTAACTGTAAAAATATTTATGTTATGTGCCTTTATTGTCGATTTGTAGTTGGGTACTGAAACAGAAAGATGTGATAGTATGCGCCCATGTTTTATAAGGAGGAATTATTTCATTTATCAGATTGTTTCCAGGGGAGAGACTTCAAGACAAAATATTGTTTTTTTTTGTTTTTTTTTTTCTCTCTCGGGGGTTCACAGAAACATTCTTCTATAGCTAGCAGTAAACAAAGCCATGCATAAATGGAGTTACAGATTTATTTTTTTATTGTGGTTACATATTTTACAGATGTTTTCAAAAAATGAGAAAACTGAAAGATGCATCTGTCTTTACCTGAAGTCCCATAAAACCCACACAGGCTGCTTGAGGCGGTATACCTGTGAAACATCATCTAAAGGAGCATATTGCACTTTCTGGTTAATTTTTTTCTTGCCATGCCTAAATGTAGAAATTACCTCCTTTACCTTGTTTGAATTAAGATGAGCTGATTGTTCCCACTGTATCGCTGACCCGGCAATCGGCACATTTCAACAAGGCAGTTCAAAATGCTTTACATCACAAAAACACAATGCAGCCACCAATTATGGAATGAGAAATACACATTGCATCAAGCAAATATACTTCAAATATGTTGATCAATTTACCAATTATTATGAATCAAAGGCAACTCTTTTTGCCTTTTTGATTCAATTTTAATTTCAATCTATTTTTGATTTTAGTTTAGCTAAAAAGTTAACTAAATTTTTTAGCTAAAAACTTTAGCTTTTAGTTTTTTAGAAGTTTGTTCTAGATTTGTGGTGCATAGAAGTTGAATGCTGCTTCTCCATGTTTGGTTCTGGTTCTGGAGATCCAGAGTAGACCAGTGTTCTGACTATCAGAACACTGGTCTGATAGTCAGACCAGAACACTGGTCTACTCTGTGTTCTGGTCCATCTCTTCAAATCTGAAGACATGGTAGGAAAATCTCTTCAGATTTTCCTACCATAGCACGGATAGATAGCTAAGTCTATCTGCCAGTGCTACACGTCCAAAACTACTACCGTCATGTTTATGAACCGAAAACTATAGCGGGTTGTGCTAATGTTAAATATATTGGACAACATTATTTGAGTGACAGAACTTAAGTGGAAACTTAGGAGTTATGCTTAGCATTGTATTGGAACAATTTATATACACAGTGAAACCACAAGAAGATCATTTCCTTCATCTGAATATCCTACCCATTTAAAATGAAAAGCTTTTTCATCAAAATGATGAAATAAAAATCTTTTTCATTTTAAATTAAAAGAATTAAAAGCACTAAAATAATTACTATACACTAATTCTTTTAGTGCACACTAAAAGAATTAGTATGCACTAATTATTTTACAAGAATATCCTACCTGTTAAGAAATATTTTAAATACAAAGGTGTTTGTAAGACTAAAACAGAGTCAGACAGGGGAAACACGTTTTTATTGGAATTAAATTAATGTTACGTGCTTCGGGCACATTATGATTTTTGTCTATTTTCTCTTTGTTTTCTTATAGACTTTAATTGAATGACATTTTGTTAATATATTTTGTAGTTTGGATAACTTCCTTCTTTTTGGTCATTTGATTACGTTTATTTGTGGCGCTGTTGATCCGCCTATAAATAGGCTGGGTTTCGGCATGTTGGAAAAAAACCTCCGCCCTTCCACTCGCTTCCGCTCGCTCCACCACCACCAGGCGCGGTGTGCGCTAGTCCAGCCGCTGTGGGCCGCAGCTGAGGTTTCCAGCCTGCTATGTGGTATTTCTGTTAGCCTGTGTTTGTTTGTTTTTTCGTTGTGATTTTGGCCTGGTGGGACCGGTTGTCCTGGTTTCGATCTGTCTTTTGCATTAGGTTCTTTTTGCTTTAGTCCGGTACTAGTAGGGGCTTCGACGGCCCTGTATAGGGTTGGCCCCCTGCTGTACCGTTTTGTTCTGTTTGATCGGCTCACCAGGTCCAACTTTCTGTTACTACTTTTGGGGTTTTGTTTTTCTTTTTTTGGGGGGGGACACGGGAAACTGAGGGCCTTCAACTCTCTTTTTCTTCACAGAAAATCAGAAGCAGCTGAACCAAGAAAACCAAAGTTCAAGAGAGTTTAAGAATAAAATATTTTGTTGAACCCTCATTCTTGTCTTGTGTCCTCAAATATGTTGTGCCCTTGGTGGACGTAACAATTAAACACCGACAAATACAGATCACCGTATCTCTTTTTTGCGCCATACCATAGTAGAAACAGAAACTTGCATTTAAATGTTCTAGATCCAGGCTGCAGATTTTTCACTGTAAAATGTCCTGGATTATATAATCGAATTTGCACAATTACTCAGTGTTTTCATCCCCCCTCAGTAATGCTGACTGTCTACCTTTGCAGTCTCTAAGAGTGGTAGAGGTACTTTAGAGGTAATAATGTGGTGAACCACTTATGGTACTGCAGTTTTTGTATTCAGAGATCTCACATTCCAGTTGAAGAGTAAACCTTGGGAAGCGATGATTTAAACTTCCCCTTCCTTGTTTTTCTGGCTGCCGTCCTACATCCACAGCGTCTTGCGCTCCAGTTCTTTGGGTGTCGGTTCAATCACAAACTATTATGCTGTTGTTTATTCATGGCATATGAGTAGAAAGAAGAATTACATCCGTCCTCCAAAAAGTAGAGCTTTGTAGGAAAGAAGCAAAACTACAAAAAATAATGCTGAACACAGAAGGATATCACAGGGTTCATACAGTTGCTTAAAATCATTGAAAATTATTACATTTCAATTGGATGCTTTCAATGTTTGGAAAGTGCTTGATTTCTGTATATATAAGCTGCACAGTTTTGTAATAAAGTGCAATCTAGCGTTTGATTCAGAGCATAAACTTGGAAAGCACCGTTTACAGTTGAAACCAGATATTTAAAGATAATTAAAAGACACATACACATTTTTTTCTCACTGTTTGAAGTTAAATAAGGCCAAATTTCTCTTGTTTTAGGTCAGTTAGAATTCCTCAAATATTTCTGTTTGCTTCATGCCAGAAAACTTAGCAAGAACATTTTAAAGACATTTTTGTAACTTTATCGCAGCAGTCAGGTGTATAGGATTTGTGTAAGAAAAACATTTCAAGACATAACATTTTTAGATTTTATTTTACCTTTAGAATGCATTATACTAATATAAGATGTTATAAATAACAGTAATAAATGATATCATAAAATGGTTTAGTTTAATTAAACTGTCATTTTAGTTTATTTGTTTTGTTTTTATCTCCAACATGTGGTACTGGAAAAAGTTATGAGAAAAGATATGAGAAAAAATGTAATATCCTGATATATTTTTGCTATATCACGATACACGATATATATCACGATATTCTTAAATGAGCTCCAATGTTATTTTAATCTAGACTCCTTCCAGCATGATGTCACCCACACAAGTTCCCGCCCACATTTCCCTGCTAGACTTAAATGTAATCTCAAATAAAAGGGATGCAGTGTTTTGCTATGAACTGTCTACACTAAGACTAGATAACAAGGTGAGACATGTTTTAACTAAGAAACAAAATAGCGAGGGAGAGGGAAGTAGGTCAGTTATGCTTGAATTTGACAAACTTAAATAGCTGTGCTGTGGAATAAGGTGTGTTCAGCTTAAAAATAAAAAAGGTGATTTGTTTTTAACTGACCTTCTTAAAGTACAAATGTGTGACATTGCTGCTTACAGTGAGTCTATGTGCAAATGGTATACAGTACAGTATATATAAGTAACATCTAAGTAACCGATCTTCAGTAGTATTCTGAAAATGTGGAGTTACTTCATTGTTTTTGACCTGTCCCTCCGTCTATCTGCCTGTTGCAGTTATACTGACGGATGAGGAAGTGCAGAGGAAAAGGGAAATGATAATGAAGAGGAAAGAAGAGGAGGCAGCCCGGGAGGCGCAGAGGCCACGTCTGAACGAGGAGCAGGCACGGATGATCTCTAGCTTGGTGGAAGCTCACCACAAGACCTACGATGCCTCCTATTCTGATTTTTCACGCTTCAGGGTTAGTCCGCTTCAAATTCTGATATCCTTCTAGCCAATCAGCACTCAGCTGAAACAATGAATGAACTTTTTCACATTTTTCATGTAGAACTGAAACAATTAATCGTGATGAATTCATTATTGAAATAATCATTAACTAGCGTGTATAGACTTAAAAAAAACCCATCAGAGCAATAATTAAGCCAGAACGGTAAATAAAATTTAAGCGTTTTTATTTAAAATAAAAATAAAAAAAACATTTTTACATATATTTTACCCAGAACTCCTCAAGTGACAGTTTTGGCTTCACCAGGTTCAAATCTTGTAAATAAATCTCCTATTCTTGTTTTTTGCTATTCAATTAATAAGCAGTTAATCAAAAAATAATAATCAGATTAGATTAGCTTTACACTGTATTGATGTTAAGTCAAGTAGAAAGGGATGAGCTTTTCACTTCACATGTTCATTAGAGATGTGCCGATCAGGTTTTTTCCTGCCGATACCGATCACCCATGAGGGCCGATCACCGATACCGATCACATAATTATTATTTATTTATTTTTTTTATCATAAACACTACCGGTTACATTATGTGGAAAAAGGAACCATGAATTCACCTTCATTTAGCCAAAAACGTGTTTTTAATAACTTTTTCCAAGAAGAAAACTAAACAAAACAGGCATTGTTCAAATTGTACTGCTATTGATAATACTATCATTAACAGACTGATAACATATGAAGGCTCTGAAGAGGCTAAATAATGCAAAGAGTCTAAAAACCTTTCAACATTGCCAAAAAATTCAAGTATAAAACTTAACATTCAAAGGCAAAAACAGGTTCCATTAGAATAAACAATCCAGAGTTACTGAATGAAAACTTCCTGATAGCATGGCGGCTAGCTGATTACCACTAGCTCTGATTGGCTGTTTCTGACTGAGCGGAGTAATTATGCAGAACAGGGAGGAGGCAGAGGACATCGATTATTTTTTCAGAGGTTATCTGTCTCATGTTAGGACAGCGAAAGTTTCAATACGTATGTAAAATTTTATCTTTAAGTTAGATGCTGCAGCTTTAAGTAGAGGTTCAGTGTGAGAGTTCACTACCAGGTGGAGAAGAAGCTGCGCTCCGTCTGTGAAGTATTACTACCTGTAGCGCGTAGCAGAGGTTCAACAGCGAGAGCAGAACCAGCATCTTACATCGCAGCTCGAAGACTTAAATAATTTTGC